ATACTTAAGTTAATTATAAATAGAATGAGGGGCTGGCGGCTAGGGTTAAGTCAATCTATCCTAGTCGACCTTCTTCTCTTTTCTTCCCTTTTCTTTGTCTCTTGCTGAAATCCCCAACTTTCTACTCTTCCTTTCACAAGAAGCTTGGCCGAAATCAGCACATAAGGTTTTCTACTGTAGGAAGGAGAGAGAAGGCTGTAAGACAGGTGTTTGGAGATACAATGGGCTGTACACTTCCGCTTGCCCTTGCGTAGAGCAATACGAAGGTCAAGGTCTGGGAAAGCTGTAGATGGGTCAGAAGAAGGCTGACCTGTTACTTCAGTAATGATGGGAGGAGCGAGAGGCTCTTCTGTAGGAGTGGAAACAACCTGCCCATGTCTGAATTTCTACCTTTGGTACCACCTTTGGAGAATAGGAGGAGGAATTATAGGAGAATGAGGTGGAGGAGGAGGAGGAATAGGAATATCGGAGGTAGGTCCAGTGGGAGAAGTAGACACCTCATGATAGGACTCGAGAGGAATGGGAAGAGGAATAGCTGGAGACATAGCAAAGGGCTCTTCAGATTTCTCCCCCTTCAGGAGAAATGCTAAAGAAAGGAGTCAACTCAGCAATGGTGACATCCCGAGATACAAAGCGGGTGCCACGAACTGGATCAAAACAGCAATATCCCTTTTGTGTGGAAGCATATCCCAGAAAAACACATTTATGAGCCTTAGGTTCAAACTTGTGCCTTTGATGACTGTGAATATGCACATAGCAAGTGCACCCAAAAACACGGAGAGGAAGAKAAAAAATATCCTCATCCGGGAAGAGAAGGCTAAAGGGGGTTTTGAAGTCAAGGACCCGAGAGGGCATATGGTTGATCAAAAAAGTAGCAGTAAGGACAACATCTCCCCAAAATTTTATAAGAACATGGAATGCAAACAAGAGGGATCTGGCAACTTCAACCACATGTCTGTTCTTCCTTTTCGCCACCCCGTTTTGTTGTGGAGTGTAGGAACAAGAATTTCGATGAATAACCCAAAAAGTTTCAAGATAGGTGGAGAGGGTTCTTTCAAAATACTCCTTAGCATTATTAGAACGAAATATTTTGATACGAGTGTTAAACTGGGTGAGGTTCATGAAATTTTTGCACAATAGCTGGTACTTCATCCCTGGATTTCATGAGATAAATCCAAGTGTAATGAGTAGTCATCAATAAAAAGGATAAAGTACCTGTAACCCCCCATAGTTGG